GATAGCTGATTGTAACCAAATGGCTTGTTACTCTCACCCAACTGGTTAGCTTTACAAACTGCGTCTGCTTACCAAACCCAGTTGAAGGCTTGTTATATTCTCCTCAAGGGCCTGTACCTTGGCCAAGAGATTATTCTCATAGTCTCTTGTCTTGGCTAAATAGAAAATATTGAAGACTTGTTATTGCATTTAATTACTTCACTTTAGCTTCATCTAATAGGTGCATTGAATCTACTTGGTCTGATAAATGAATGGTGGAAAACAAGAATTATTTTCGTTTATTTTGTATGAATACAGAAAACATTAAGTATTGTCCAACAGAAAGGTAGTTTTCCCTAATAAAGATACATCTATTAAATTATGAATGTTTCAGTTTTCGCCGTTAGCATTACTTCTCGATAGTAAGTCATTTGAAGAGAGTGTCGAACTGATCGAAGCACTCGAAAAGAGGATCTAAGCAGGCGTCCTTATTCAATCAAAAGGGTGGTCAAAAAGATTTTGAGGAGTTTGTATGTTGTGTGACACAGCATAAATTTTTACAACAATCGTAGATTTACAAATCATTGAACTTATATGGGTGGAACACTTTAGCTGTTTGGATTGTTACTACTGGTAAGTAGAAACAAAAAACGGAATGTGTTATGTACATGTACACAGTACTTCAGGGTTAAAGAACTTTCTCAAACTCATTTTAAAACAAAAGCAAATCGCAACCGTGAAGGAGGTTTGGATACCCGGTCCTAATTAGCATAGATTTTGACATTTTTACTTCTCCGTTTACTCCTTAGTTTTTGTTTCGATTGAGAAGATATATCAAACACTCGAGACAGTGTTTCATCGGCTATCCAAACACCTCGAATTTCGTCAAAAATACTCCGCTGCGCGTCGTATTTTCAACTCTCTTCTCGGTGTTTGGATATCCCGATGAAACACTGTCTCTCGTGTTTGATATATTACATCAATAATCAACCTAAGAGACCAATAAATCTCCTCGGCTTTAAAATTACCCTAGCGAGTCGAGGGCTATTGTGATATCGATGTTTCTGTCCCTAGGACTAGGCAGCGGCCCTTTCTAGAGGCCGGTTCGCGTATATCTTTCCTGAGNGATAGCTGATTGTAACCAAATGGCTTGTTACTCTCACCCAACTGGTTAGCTTTACAAACTGCGTCTGCTTACCAAACCCAGTTGAAGGCTTGTTATATTCTCCTCAAGGGCCTGTACCTTGGCCAAGAGATTATTCTCATAGTCTCTTGTCTTGGCTAAATAGAAAATATTGAAGACTTGTTATTGCATTTAATTACTTCACTTTAGCTTCATCTAATAGGTGCATTGAATCTACTTGGTCTGATAAATGAATGGTGGAAAACAAGAATTATTTTCGTTTATTTTGTATGAATACAGAAAACATTAAGTATTGTCCAACAGAAAGGTAGTTTTCCCTAATAAAGATACATCTATTAAATTATGAATGTTTCAGTTTTCGCCGTTAGCATTACTTCTCGATAGTAAGTCATTTGAAGAGAGTGTCGAACTGATCGAAGCACTCGAAAAGAGGATCTAAGCAGGGATCCTTACTCAATCAAAAGGGTGGTCAAAAAGATTTTGAGGAGTTTGTATGTTGTGCGACACAGCATAAATTTTTACAACAATCGTAGATTTACAAATCATTGAACTTATATAGGTGGAACACTTGAGCTGTTTGGATTGTTACTACTGGTAAGTAGTAACAAAAAACGGAATGTGTTCTGTACATGTACACAGTACTTCAGGGTTAAAGAACTTTCTCAAACTCATTTTAAGCTAAAACAAAAGGAAATCGCAACCGTGGAGGAGGTTTGGATACCCGGTCTTAATTAACATAAATTTGGACGATTTTACTTCTCCGTTTACTCCTTAGCTTTTTTTTCGATTGAGAAGATATATCAAACACTCGAGACAGTGTTTCATGGGCTATCCAAACACCTCGAATTTCGTCAAAAATACTCCGCTGCGCGTCGTATTTTCAACTCTCTTCTCGGTGTTTGGATATCCCGATGAAACACTGTCTCTCGTGTTTGATATATTACATCGATAATCAACCTAAGAGACCAATAAATCTCCTCGGCTTTAAAATTACCCTAGCGAGTCGAGGGCTATCGTGATATCGATGTTTCTGTCCCTAGGACTAGGCAGCGGCCCTTTCTAGAGGCCGGTTCGCGTATATCTTTCCTGAGTGTTTTATTTTCGAGATTCGAGGTTTAGATATTTCGTTTTGGAGTGTTTCATTTTCGAGGTTTGGATAATTTTTTTTTTAGTTTGGATATTATTTTTTTTGAGTGTTTCATTTTCGAGGTCTGACATCGGGCAGAATGGCTATTATTCTCGCGACATTTYTATTTCGCGTTATTATTCATGAACGATATCAAACAACTTAACAACTTAATTCATTGGTTGTTCGTATAGTGTGATCGTCCGGGTGAGGGTAGTTCTGAAAAGAACTGTTGTTGGTGACTGACGTTTCGACAACCTGAGCGGAAGTCATCTTCAGAGCCAAGGGAAGATGACTTCCGTTCACTATACGAACTACCGATACTCTTGGGTTAAAACCATTTACTATAATTCATTGGTTGCTAAGAACGCATACTAAACTGAAATCTCGGATCACGCTTGCTTGAGTTTCTTTCAAACTATAAAATAATAGCGTGCACGGTCGAGTTTCCATTAAACTGTAAAAAGATGCGCCCTTCTTTGAACGCACTCGCTTGATTTTCTTTCGAAATAAAAACATAGCTCGTCCTTCTTGGATCACAATCACGGTTCTTTCATTTTAATTTTGAGAAACGAAGAGAAAGCGTTAAATTGCTCATGTATGTGCTATTTACTGATATGTCTAAACTTCTTTTTTGTCTTTCTCAGGCGGTATATATACGTAACCGTTGTATAAGCTAGTAGGTTGATGTAGTTGTCGCCGAGAAAAGTATAGGTTGTGTTGTATTATGCGGCCAGTTGCTTTGTCATGTGAGTTGTCTGCGTGCGGAAGCTACATACACAGCTGATTGTGAACGAGCCACGAACTTTCATACTATTTCTGCCTCGAGATGATTTAAAGCAGTCGAGTGAATGGGCGGTTAAGTTTTACTGAACACTGATTTCTATTCATCAATCCTTATAGCCCCCAGTGGGGCATAGGCCCGCTTGAGTGCTATTGGATGAATTTAATTATTTGATTGTATCAGGAGCCATAATCGGGGATTATGGCTCCTGATTATATTAGATTACTCGGCGGTGATTCGAGGTTTGGATATTTCGTTTTGGAGTGTTTCATTTTCGAAGTTTGAATAATTCTTTTTTGAGCTAATTCGAGTTTGGATATTTCTTTTTTGAGTGTTTCATTTTCGAGGTTTGAATGCTTCCTTTTTTCTGAGTGTTTCAGTTTCGAGATTCGAGGTTCAGGATAGCTATTTTTTGTGTTTCATTTTCGAGGTTTGGAGATTTCTTTTTTGAGTGTTTCATTTTCGAGGTTTGAATACTTCTTCCTAATTTGAGTGTTTGGTTTTCGAAGCTCGGATATTTCTTTCTTGAGTGTTTCATTTTCGAGGTTTGAGTGCTTTCTTTCTGAGTGTTTCATTTTCGAGATTCGAGGTTCAGGATAGTTATTTTTTTAGTGTTTCAT